AACAGTAATCACGCAATGAACAGTACTGCCACTTCCAAAAATTGGCAAAACCATAGCTAATCTCACTGGATTTTCTCCAAAATCTCACAGCAACTAATTAACTAATTTTCTACATGAATTAAGCTAAATCATGGTCTAAATACTGTCAAATTTCTCCCCATTTTTAACAGATTTCCGGACAGCATAGGGCAGCAATTAAATGGACAAATTCAGCAACCAATTGATGAAATTTCGGGCTTGGAGGAGCTATCAACATACCAGAATTTTGCAAGAAAAAACCGGAGCTGCAAGCTAAGGGAAGGCCGGCGGCAATTTGGGGAGAAATCAAGAAATCTACCGAAAATTGGGAGAACCAAGAGGATTTAGAGTAAACCCAAGGCAAATCAAAGCTAAAGAGATGATTTCATGGTGGTTCCTTTACCAGAAAACTGGAAAAATCCCCACCCTCACCAAGCTGGAACCGACAGTAGGGGAGGAAGAACAGAGCAGATCTGGAATTTCTGGGTTAAGAGAGAGAGTTCTAAGTCCTAAAACTTGTTATTGAGCAAGAAAGAAGGAGAAATTTCAAGCTTCTTACCGATTTTTCTTCAAGGGAGGGCTGCTGTCGGGCTTGCTTCTTGTTCGGCTGCAAAGGGGGTCGGGAAGAGCAGAATCGGGCTGAAGAAGAAAGAGGAAAAGGAGAAAAAAATCAGTCATCCTTATCCAAATTCTTTCCTCTTTTAAGTCCCTCAAGTTTCCAAATGTTGGCTATTAAGCCCAAAACAATATTTTCTCACACAAAGGTTCCCAACTTAGACGCTAGAATTCCCAAAAATTTGGGATATTACACTAAGGGAGGCATTAAAGGAGAAATCTGGTATTTAAGGGCTAAGGCGATTTTTCCTTTTTCCCCTAGCCCATTTTTGTGAGATTTCCCCAGCCCTCACCAGAATTTTTCCTTTTCAAGCCCAACCTATGCCAGCAGCTTCTTCTCGTTAGAATAAGGTGAGATTTAGCATTTTTCTTCCTTCTCCTAATAAGGGTTAGAGATTTATGAGCTTATAATTCTTAAAATCATGATAAAAACCTATATCTTGCTGTTGGTATCCTTCCATTTCCGGTCCATGTCGGGTGTGAAGAGAGGCTACCATTTTTCTAGCACTTCTGGTAAGAAATTTAACATATTGTGCACCTTTTCATCTTTAATTTGAAGTGGGTTATCTTTAATCATTTAGGGTTTTCAATTTTGGGAGTGTATCTGTGGTTTCCCCCTTGATTTACCCATAATCTAGCATTATTAGCTCTGATCCCTCTTTTTGCTACAAATTCAGATTGCATGACCTTGCAATGGTATTTTTCTCGTGACTCTTTTTGTAGTTATTGGATTAAGTCGATTCTTGATTTTATAGAAAGCTAAGAGATAAACCTACAATTTTTATGTTGGACATGTAACCTAATTCAACTGTTTTCAAGGTGAAAACTCTGCTGCAATTTCAGACCCTGCAGGCGGACTGCACTAGTAGCCCAACCTTCTATTAGTATTTTGGCCATAACTCTTTCTGTAGATGTCGGATTAAGGTAACTCTTGAGGCTATAGAACACTAAGACATAGGGCTACAATTTATCTTTTGGCACTCAACCCAGATCAATCAATTTCTGGGTGTAAATTTTGTTGGAAGTTCCAGCACGAAATCTGACCAAAACTTGACAGAAGTCTGCTCTCTTTTCTATTCTATTCCCACTTTATCTGCTGCTACATTGCATCATAATTTTAGTAGACTTTTATTTGCTATTTTTTTCCTCTAAAACCATTTGTTATTGCTTTACTTTGGCTGCCCTTTTTGCTACTTAAATGCTGTCCATTTTTGCACAGTTCTAGCTTGTGTTCTACCCTGTTTTGTTGCTGTCTTTTGCCCAAAAATACCTACTATTCAGGGCTTATTCCAAGCATTTGGGGACTGCTTTAAGTGGCAAAAACCCCCACTTTGCTGCCTAATACTTCTGCTGCATTTAGGATAGCTAAAGAACTCAATTTCTCACCATTTTTCCACCTTATTTTATCCAAAAAATCTGTTTCGGATACCTGCTGTTTGTGTCTTTTTAGAGCTATTTTAAGCATATTCTAAGTATTTATTTGATGTGGTATAGGTTCTAAATCACCTCAAGCACCTTAACTTCTTGAATTCCTTGCTTGTTGTATACCTATAAGACGAGATAAATAAAATTATAGTAAATACTCTTGGATTTTTAAGGTAAAGGTTTTAAAGCATATTTTTAAACTATTTTTTTGAAGTGGTGACAGGATTAAACCCGTTTTACATAAAAACGAGCATGATTGGTTTAAAATGAAATTGTTATCATTTATTGATTTGAGCATGCCTACTTGGAGTTTATTGAACTGTTCTAGTAACCTGAAATTGGTTTGTAAATTACAAATTTTCCTGTAACTCCTACATGGTTTTGTCTCCAATATGGTCATGATAACTGAGGCCCGCTAGTGGGAGTTTGCAAACGTTAGCACATGTCAACATGCATATCTGTAGAACCAATTCATTCTGTAATCCTGCCAGTGGGATAATACACTTATTATTACTAACGCCTGCTAGTTGGAGTTTGTTAAACATTGGCCATGACTAATTGAGGAGACCACTACTGAATTTTATTCTGCAATAATGGTTTATCACTGAGATATTTCTTCTATTTTATGTTTCAATTGTTTATCTGACATGCTTTAATTTTAATTAAGGGCTATCCATATTTTTACTTAGTGAGTTATCTCACATAGTTTTTCCTTGTCCACCATTTCAGGTAATGTGACTTGAGACATGGGAAACTAAGGGGAGTGATGAGCTAGAAGGCTAGCCTTTTGCATTTTGGACTTAGTTCATTTTGGAATTTGGCCGCTAGATGAATTATTTTGAACTTAAGTCATTTTGGACATAAATTTATTTTGAAATTTTAGAATTTAAGTTATTGGATCGTCAGATGTGAATTAAACAAGTTCTGAGTCTTGTGCATTTGTGAGATTCTCTCACAAGTGTACGGCGTCTGTTTTGCTCCCAGTTTTGGGACGTGACAACGTATGAGCTTAAAACATCAAGACTGATAAAAATAAGTTAAACCTAGTTCTACATGGCCTACAAGTGATGTTACAAAGGCAATTGACTCAAAAAAATGCATGTTAAAACATCATATTTCTTTGATCTTAAAAAATAAAGGCAATCAACAAAGATTACATTTCAAATCAAAATTGTATATATGATAAGGACACAGCATATCTTAATTTGTAGTTAAAAATTATTTTATGTAAATAATTTATTTTCCATTTGATAAGTAAATTTGTTTATGTTTGTATACTATTCATTATATCAAAAAAGTTTAATAGAGTCTAGTACACTATTAATCAAATAGAAAGTATAATGCAATGACACTTGAATCAAGAGTTATTTTGTAATAGGTTAAAATATTTCTTGTACACCTTATACTATATATAAAATAAAAACATCTTCTTTGCTATTCAAAGAAAAAAAGTCTAATATACATTAGCAAAGCGTGGGTCCACTTAAATGAATTTGTTTACAATGTCAAACGTCTACATCTAATAACTCCTTATACAGTAAACTCAACAAGTTCAACTACTTAATTAGGATAATTAAAACTTTGATTCTTTGTAAGATGAAATTACAAACGTTTGACTCCTCGTAAATATGTTTTTGAAAATTCTTAAAATTAAATAATCAAGCTAAATTAGATGAGTATAGTTAATTTTTCAGAAGGAACAATATGAGAAAATTATTTTATACTTATAGGGAGGGGTTTTTTAAATAAGATCTACAAAAGGTAAATTTATACCTTATTGATTGTGACGTAAGCATAAATACAAGAAGTTAAAAATCATTTTGTCAATTAATTAAATAATTAAGCTTTATATTATTTTTTTGTTCAAAAGAGTTTGTTGTTATATAACTTCAAGTTCTAGAGTTATATAAATACCAACATAAAGTTCTTAGAGTTATTTTATGAACTAATAAATTGAGAGTTACTAGAAATTAACTTGTTTGTAGAAATTTTAATTTCATGTAACCTATATGCAGTAATAACTTCAAGTTTTCAAGTTATATAAATACCAACTCTAATTTGATGTGCTTAGGCTCTCTACCATCTAAACAAAAAATTCACCATCTCATAAATCATGACAAGCATCAAATTTTTCTCAACTTTGTTAGTTCTAGTTATGGCAAGTGAAGTAGTCATAGCTAATGTAGACATCGAGAATTACCTTATCAAAAAGCATGGGTGTGAAAGCAAGATGCATGTAAAATGTGTCAAGCAGGTTTTTTCAAGCATATTTAAAGTTGGAACCGTCACAAACAGTTGTTGTTATGAGCTTGCAAAGTTAGGTCCACTTTGCCATTTTACATTGGCTGATAGAACTCTTCAAACTGAATTTAAAAGTTCTAATGCTTTTCAAATTTTGGTTAAAAGTACACATGTGTGGAGTAGGTGCCTTGCACTTTCATCACAATTAGACCAAGAAAAAATTTCAATACTAACTCCTCCACCTGTGTAAAGCAAGTTTGGCTTATGTTAAACAAAAGTAAATCATTCAAATTAATAAAACTTTATTGATATTTAGATTTTCTTCAACACTTGTGTTATATGTGTTTTGAGTGTCTATTTCTAACATCACTTGTAAGCCATTTAGAATTAGGTTGAACTTGTTATTTTATTTACATATTAAAACATCAAATTTCTCTAATCTAAAAAAAAATAAAAAGCAAGTTCAAATCAATAAAGATAGACATTTCTAATCAAAACTGTATGCATGATGTGGACACTAACTACATTTTAATTCATAATTAAGTATTATTTTAAGTAAATAATTTCTTTTTTATTGGATGAGTGAATTTGTCCATGTTTGCATATTTTTCACAACATCAGAAGAGTTTAATAGAATCTAGTACACTATTTGTTCAAATGGACAGTATAAAGTAATGTCACTTGTAATCAAAAGTTATTTTGTAATAGGTTAGAATGCTTGTTGTATACTTTATATTATATATAATAAAAATGATTTCTTTTGTTGTTAAAAAAAAGTCTAGTACACATTAACAAAGCATGTGTCCATTTAATTGAGTTCGTTAGCCATGGCAATAGTCTACATCTAATTATTCCTTGCATTGTAAACTTAGACAAGTTCAAGTACTTTGATTAGGAAAATTAGAACTTTGAGTCTTTATAAAGCTTCAAAAGTTTGACTCTTTCTAAATATATTTTTTGGAAAATTTTTATGTTCAAATAATCAAGTTGAAGAAGATGAGTACAAGTAAGTTTTTTTTTAACAAAACAATTGTTTTAGCATTTTTTTCATAGTGATTAATTAAAATATCATAGTTTTAGTATGTTCTACATTTTAGAGGTTGGACTAATAAACACTAATATAAAATTTATGGGATCTAAAAAGGTAAATTTATATCTTACTAATTATGATGCAGGTTCAAGTACAATTAGTTGAAAATTATTTTTTCAATTAATTAAATAATTGTGTTTTATATTATATTTTGTTCGTAAAGATTTTATTACTATGTAACTTCAGATCCTAAAGTTGTATAAGTACCAACATAAATTTCTTTTGAGTGATTTTATAAACTTATAAATTAGAAGTTATTGGAAATTAACTTGGCTGCATAGATTTTAATTTCATGTAGCCTATATATAATCATAACTCGATGTTTTTGGGCTGTATAAATATCATTATGGAAAGCCAATGTGCTTAGGCCTCTACAAACTAACCCAAAAGGATTCACCATCCCATAATTCATGCTCAACTCTTTTGGTTTTGGTTGTGACAAGTGGAGCAATCATGGTTTATAAAGACAGAGAATTGCTTTATCACTAAGTTTGGGTGTGAAAGCAAGATGCATGTAAAATGTGTGAAGGAGATTTTCTTAATCATATTCAAAGTTGGAATAGTCACAAATAGTTGTTGTGAGTTTGCAAAGCACACCTTACTATTCTGCACTGGTCAATAGAACTCTTCAAACTAAATTTCAAACTTCCAATGTATTTAAAATTTTGGTTAAAAGTACATGTGGTGTGGAGTAGGTATCTCGCACTTTAATCACTGTATGACCAGGAAGCAATTTCAATGCTAACTCCTTCACTTGCATATGGCTA